AAATGCAGACACAAACACCCCTTGCAGCTGGTGTTATGAGTGGGAGGGCGTGGGGTGGGGAGAGAGAGAGAGAGAGAGAGAGAGAGAGAGAGAGAGAGAGAGAGAAAAGAGATGCTGATACATAAAGTGAAAATAGTCATATTCACAATAAAAAAATAAACATTTCAGCATAAGTTTGCATTTGGTTAAGTTACAACAGAACTGTCTAAGCTCTTTATTTTATTTTTCCAGCATCCAATTTGTTTACTTTAAGTCATATCGTTTCCGAATTGTCTCCCAGTTTGATTCGTTGCAAATAAGTGAGATATCCAGACATTATAAATGTGTCTGTTTTGCTGCACTCCTCCCAGCTGGTTGTGTCTCCTCTGACCCCATCTGTTCTCTTACTCACTGTGTTAAAATGTCACGAGGAAGCGTGATTTGGGGCTTGGGGAGACTGTCCTGATACCAAAAGGTCAGAAATTTGGCGCCCGGTTTTAGATTTAAAGTGTCCTGGAGCATCATCCTGGAAAAACGAGGGACTGTACAAGCATCTGTTTCACTGCATTTAGTGAAACGGATGCTTGTACAACTTTCGGAGCAAGTTACACACAGATCAAGACAGAAACATAAGTGGCATGTGGGCGAATCCGTTTTTAAAAAATGAGGCTGGCCAGCCTCTTGTTTGGAGTGGGAACTGGATATTACTGTAATTAACATTTTGGCAATCTGAGAGCAGTTTATTTGCAGGGAGAGCGCTCATCATTATATTAGCTTGTCATGCAAGTCTACAATTAAACCCCCAGATGTAGCAATCAATATGGAGGGTAAAAAATTAACAGTTAATACCGTGACTTACTGAAAGATTAAAAAAAAATACAGCAACATTGATTACAACAAGGGTCATCGACAAAATTAACTCAAGGGCCAGAATCTTTCTAAGTAAATTCATGTCAGGTTTCTATAGATGATCTGGGGTATTTATTAAACATTTTACTGTTAAATGGATRGGATTTACTGTTCTCCACACAAACAGACTGCATATTGCTAAATGACTGGGCTTGTTTCACTTTGACTTGAGGCACCAACATGATCCAAGTGTAAAACAAGCTTTACAGAAAATTAACTTTCCAGAATCAGCCAACACAACAGCTAATCTCTGCTCAGCTCATTGACATTAATAATATTGGTTTTGGGCATACTTATTTGAACTAATTACCTAGTTGCGCACTTGCTGCTACAGAATTTTTGTAAACTCTTACTATAAGATTGAGTAAGCAATGAGGATTTTTGACTAAATGACTTCAAAACTGTACATAAATCAGACTCTATTTGGTCTAAGAGTAAATGTTTTGTCAAATAAGTTTGGCCTATGTAGCAGCTAAACGTTTCTAAAGATTTGTTATCTTTTTGATCCAGCAACATTCTTAGGTGCTCAGCTTCATGTCCCGCCGCCATGTTTTAGGATCTGACACTGATCACGTGATGTCAATGAGCTAACTGAAATACTGCTATTTCTGACCTGGGCTACAAAGAATATCTGTATCAAAAATGTTATCATCAGTTTTATCCTTTGCAGATCGAATGGAATGAGCTTGTGGGCCAGATTTGGCCTGGAAGACAAGTTATTTAAAATAATGTCTGCAGGAATATTTATCATAAACTTTAAAACATGTTTGACTTGTGGAGAAGGGGGATGTGGCGAAAAACAGTTGTCATCCGATAAGTGTTAATACCTCCTGTAGTAAATTACATATGTTTGATAAACGAAAAGAAACATAACCACATTCTCTGTGAGTAGAATAGAAAACAGAAAATGAGTGTAATTTAAGTCTTGAAAAAAAAAAGAATGGGACTCATTGATGAACCATGAGAGAATAAGGGTATCTGTGACTAAGTTTTATTTCCACGTCTACATTAAAGCTCTGACACTATAAGCTCAAATTAGAGTGTCACGAGGAACCACAGAGTCATCACTGCGCTGGAATTGAGCAAAATCTCCTCTTGTCAAGTTTTGTATAACACTAAGAAGCAGGGGCGTTATCTTGCATGTGGGGTGGGGGTGGGGGGCAGATTAAAAATGGCGTCATCATCTAATCTACAGCCTCAACTGCAGATCCAAAGCTGAACAACCCTCGGTTGATTCTTAACAAAATGCTTGCTGAGAGCAGATGTGGTCAGTTAACCAGGGGATCACATTTACAGCTAGCTTAAAAACGACTGGCTGACTGAGAAAGGCTAAGATTATTTTTAAATGATTGTTAGGTCTGTGAAGCAGCAGATGGGAAAGGTGAGGGGTGCTGAACAAATCGTACAATCGGATCATTTCATCCGCAGATGTATAAATTTACATGTCTTACTATGCTGATCATTTAATGTTTTTTAGCTGAAAAGCAATAGCGCACGTCCGTCATCCTTTACACTGATAATGCCTACAGTTACCATATTCCACTGCCTGATTGGCAGGACAAGACTCCCGCACACAGAATGGACTCCTCATCATGATAGGATGAAAAGCAGGTGGTTGTTATTTTCCTACCTGTTTGCACAGAGCCCTTGAATGGATTACGCCGAAGCAACTGCATTGTGCCGAGTTCTGGACAAACTGATGAGGTGCGATATTAGGGTTCGATCGTGAAGGGCCTTTTAATTATCTTGTGATTCAGAGCCCAGAGGACGCATCTGTCAGAAAGTCCTCCATATTTCCCCTGAGAGGTAGAAGAGAAGATGTCACATGTTGGAACTTCTTTTTTTTCTTTTAACTTTCAGTGAAAGCTCAATTAGACTGTGTTGCCAACAGGTAAATTTCCTCCTTGCAACGGACCGATGGATTGTTTAAACTTTTAACTGCTGCTTGCAGCATTGGTTTGTTATTCCACACATCAGCTTGGTTTATGGCACTTAGGAAAAAAATACATAAATAAAAAGGCACTTTGAGCAGAAATCTACGGAGCCCATCCAGTGACAATGGATTAAAAAAAAGGGATAGTTTTGAGTAGCCATGTCTCTTTGTGAGGTATACATTGTTGGAGTCAGATTCCATATGCATACACTGTTTTTGTGTTTAACTGTTCAAATGTGACCTATACTTTTTTTTTTTTTTTTTGGGGGGGGGGGGTTATATGTTTAAACTAAAGATTATACATCCATGTTTCAATCTAAACGGTTAATTTTTCATAGTATTTACAAGATGACATTGAACACCCCAAGTGTGTGTTGGAAAACTTCATTTTTACTGTGTTCCTCAATGTGGCATAACTTTAACTCCTTCCACAATAAAAGCAAACAACGAGAGAGAAGCTCATTCTGAGTGTTGAGCTGAAACAAAATTTTCAGGACAAATGTAACTCCAGTTGTCAGCCGTGTTTAATGCTAAGAGTTACTACATGCCTAACGTAAGTGACTGAAGTTTGTCATTCATTCTTATAATAAAACGAAATGAAATTAATTCAAACATGTCCATTTAAACAATCGACAGTCTCTGCATGGAAGTGACTGCAATAATTACCTTGTGGCAACGGTGAACTATCTT